AGTAGTAGTAGTAGTAGCAGCAGCAGTAGTAGTAGCATCAGTAGTAGTAGTAGTAGTAGTCGTAGTCGTAGTCGTAGTCGTAGTCGTAGTAGTAGTATTAGCAGTGGTGTTCGTAGTAGCAATAGTAGTAGTAACCGAAGAAGTAATAGTCATAGTAGTCGTGTCGTGGTGTCGTAGTATTCGTCGTAGTCGTAGTCGTAGTCGTAATGGTAGTAGTAGTCGTAGTAGTACTAGTAGTAGGAGTGGTAGTAGTAGTCGTCGTCGTCGTCCTAGGAGTAGTAGTAGTCGTCGTCGTCTAGCAGTCGTCGTTTTAGTAGTACTAGTACTTACTTGTAGTCTAAACGAACCGCATTATACCAAAAGGTCTCCGCCACCCCCCCCCCCACTCCGCTTGCACCTTAAACCTGGTCTATCTCCCCATGAACTTAAGGGTCTGAGAGCATGCGACCGTTAGTGTCTTCAATGGCTAATGTGCTGTTGCTCGCCAATGTGCGCCGTCGTACCAGGAACCTCGCCCAGGCATGTCCGAGCGTGAGTGGTGAAACCTGGTCTATTTGGCAGCTGGAACCATGGGTTTGGTCCCAACCTCGAGAACCAGCTGCCAAATAAACCGGGCTTGCGTTTCCGAGGGTCCAAGAGGAGAGTTACTACAATTTTCAATATTGGGGGAGGGCTGCGGATGTAAATTGTTTCATTCTTGGCCCGAATTAATCACTTCCCTTGTTTATTAAACACCCCTCTAATGATACAAACACATTGGACCCATCCTCCCGAAATCATCCCTGACCTTTAAAACCTATTCTGATTTGGGGGGGTTGAGGTTAAAGGTTGAGAGTTTAGTGCGCGCCTCCCTGGTTTACAGCTGTCTGTCTTTTCTCAGCTGCGACTGTCTTTTGGCAGCTCGGTCTGTGAGCGTGGCTGTCCGAAGCCAGCCTCACACTTTCATAAATCCGCAGGCCTGACTGCCTGTCTGTCAGAAAAGACTAAGTCAGGTTTTAGGGTTGTCTGTGAGCACACAGGCCCTCTCTGAGCCTGCCTGTGCGGAGCGGCCGCGTGATCCCTTCTTTCTGTCTCCTTGTTTGTCTTTGTGTTAATTACTAGTCTAACTAATTACTACTGTACCCACATCTGACAGTAGAGAAAAAATACACCCAAATAATAAAAACACTTTTTGAGTATCGGTTGGGGGGGTTAATATACGGGGATAGGATCAATTATTGTCAATAACTTAACAATACAAATCCTGTCGAGGGAGGTCCGGGGGCTCCCGAACCCCCGGAATTAAGCAATTCCAATGATGTAAAATTTGGGGGATGCCTCCGGATTTGGATCATTTAAGTTATGAGATTCCGGGGCTCAGGACCCCCGAGGACCCCCTTGTCCAGGATTTTTAAGTTATGTCTATTTAATTCGGGCCGGGGTTTTAATTGTTTTAAATCCTGGGCCCCAGAGGGTCCCGAGCCCCGTCCCCAGGATTTAGATTATTTACGTGATTTAAATTATTCAAAATACTTATTTACTTCTCAGCTGGAACCATACGTCTAGCTGCCAAATAGACCGGGTTTGCGTTCGCAAAGGATTCCAGGAGGAGAACTAACGAGCTTGAATACATTTCAACCTGGGGAGGCGGGTCCTGGGGGGTCCCGAACCCCCCGAATAAAATAATGTAAATATTGGGGGAGGCCTCCGAATTTAAGTTGTTTATGTTATTCAATTCCCGGGGCTCGGGACCCGCCCCCGCAGCAAACTTTGCCAACCGATTCTTGGACAAAAGTTGCTGCGATTGACTTGCTCGTGGTTAACCTAAATCAGGAAACAGCCAGTCGCAGCAAATTTTGCCAACCGATTCTTGGGCAAAATTTGCTGCGATTGACTTGTTCGTGGTGACATGTAAATTAGGAAGCAGCCGATAGCAGCAAATTTGTCCAATCGATTCTTGGGCGACATTTGCTGCGATTGAGTTGTTAGTCGTTGCATTCAAATCAGGAAACAGCCAATCGCAGCACATTTCGCCAACCGGTTCTTGGGCAAAATTTGCTGCGATTGACTTATTTGTGGTTAAGTTTTTATTGAAGTGAGGAAACAGCCAACAGCAGCAAGTTTGCCAACCACTTGGTGTAAATTTGCTGCGATTGAGTTGGTAGTGGTTATCTTTTTCTCATCCTTGTTATCATCTGTATCGTCGCTTTATTTCTTTTTGATTCTTTATCATCTCTACCATCTTCCTTATCATCTTTATCATCCTTGTTATCATCGGTACCATATTTTTACCATTTTTAACATATTCAGCACCAGCTGTATCATTTTCTCTATCATCTTTACCATCTTCGTCATAATCTTTATTCATCTCCATCATTTCCGTTATCAGCTTTACCATCCTTGTTATCATCTGTATCATGTTTTTATATTGTTTATCATCTCCGTTCTTCTCATAATAACATCTTCAAGCAGAAATTGCTGATTAACATCTATGTTTGCACAGGACAATTTGGGAGAAGTTCATCAAACTATGTTTGACAATCGTCTCGGATAAAAACTTGCCAAATGGATGGTTTAATTCTCCATTGAGGTTAAATGCAAGCTGCGGGTCTTAAAGAAGCCAAAGTTGAATAAATCATTGACACAACGATAGGCCCGAGATATAGATTGATATTGTCAACCCAATGAGAGTGCTCTTAAGCTTTTTCGAATTTAGCAACGTCTATATTTGGCCTGAGATGGTCTGTCCCCGAGAAGATTGGGGTGAGCATAAATAAATACATAAATATATATATATATATGTGTGTGTGTGTGTGTATGTGTGTGTGTATATATATATATATCTATGTGTGTGTATAGTGTGTATATATATATGCGCACAAACGCTCGTGGCCCTTGTAATGATTCTGGCCCCAGCAGAGGTGCGCGCATTGGAAGCTGGCGTGGCCGGGGTAGACGTTCAGGCGGACCACAATAGAGTTCTGTCCCGCCAGGCTATTGCTCGAGTGGGTGCCAGGTGCTTCAGTCACCATCCAACAATGACATGCTCTGGATACTCGAAAGACATGCTCAGAGGGCTGGCTGCTGAAATGACATCTTGGAACCGCTCAGCTGCCGCAGCCAGCTGCAGACTGAGGATCGACTTCACTGAGGCGGCATTGCTGAAGAAACAAGGTGCAGTAGGGTTGCGGGGATGTCGCGACACTTTGAATAACTTCGAAACAGATCCTTAGTTGCCTGAGTCTGGGGTAGTGTCAGATATTGTCAGATAATTAGGGATACTGTCGTGCAGCATGCTCGACGAGTCATAGCTTGCGAGATAGCGATGACAGCAGAACAGAACGAAGGGGAGCAGTATGTAAACAGCTGCGATTTTCAGCGCGATGCTCGCGAATAGCTTGGCGAAGGGTTTTCCGTGGAGGTGGTTTGGACGGAATGATGGGATGACGATGTTGATGTGAGGTTGTCCCTTAGCTTGTCGTGAGATTGTATGGCATTGGTTTTCGTCAGATTGGTTGGCAATTGAGCTTTTTGTGAGGTTCCCTCTTCGCTTACGTATCTACAGCTCTTGAATCCCGTCGCTGCACGGCGGAAACGACGATTCGTGTTCGGAATTGACACGTCTCGGTGGAAGCAGCGTGTCCTCCATTAAGAGCGGTCAACAGTAAATTCCAACACCTGGGCCGCCTGCAGGTAGCAGCCAACTCGTCTCATGCTGATAGAGTCGGAACAAGATAGACGGACCTTTTGTTTCAGAACAAGTTGCAAAAAGCCATCGATAGCTGTGACTCTCTCAAAACTCTTTGGTGCCACAAGACAAACGACAGTGCCGCCAGTCAGGCGATGAGGCAAGGTTTGAAACACAGGACACAAAACGAACAAGCAGCTCGAATGATGCGCGCGCCAAGGCATTCCACCGGGCCTGCCCCAGCTGAAACAAACTTTGTTTAAGCAGTCCCTGCCAGGCCAGGGCGTAAAAATTCAAGACTGTTTCGAGAATGCCTGTCTTGCGGAGGCTCAAGAGACTCAAGAGCTGAGCATTTTTCAGCTTTGCCTGGCGGAGGAGTTAGTCAACAGACTTGTTTCTCTCATTAACGCCCGAGCGCGCAGTCCCTGCGCCACTCCCGAGCGCGCCTGGGGATCGCGGCCGCGCGCGCCTGGGGACCGCGGCCTTTAGCGGCTCTGTGCCACGCTCGCGCGCGCATGGGGACTGCAGGGAGGCACTGCATGTCTCAGCTGTGAATTCTCTAAGCCCATTGCCAACTTGATTGGAGGTCCCGGCAGTCTTTCAGTGGAAGCTCCGCCGATGATATGCCCAGAGTATGAAAAGCGGTACAGGACACTTCCGCTGAGCAGAGGATGGCTGAAGACTGCGTCTCCGTCGCAGGAGCCCCAAAGACGCGGTGGTGGGATTCGCCACCGCTGCTCTTGACGCAAGTGGGATCACAATGTAAGCTCCAAGCCACAGCCTGCCGTGTCCGTTCAGCTGAGGAAGTTTTCCTCATGGTTCCACCCAGCTCGCACGAAGGAGCCGCGAAGGCTTTGGCTGAAGAGCTGCAGGAGCTATCTGAATGCCCCCAGCGAGGCCAGGCAGGCGTGACATGCGTGACGGCGCAAGCTTGCAGCCCAAAACTTGCTCTGGATTTGGTTGCGAGTCGAGTCGAGCCCAATGAAGCCGAGCTGGCAGCATGATGCAGTGTGCGAGCTTGCGAAGCGATCGATGGGACGCTCCGGCAGGTGTTGGGAAGACTTTCCAAGATGTGCCTCGGCGGGACTGCTGTTCGGTTCTGGCATCGTCTTCACAGGGGGCCAACATCAACTAGCACGGCGTGTCCCGGTTTCCTGTTGGAATCCTATATGCCTGCTGCATCTACACTGTCCTGGAAAATGTTGCAGGTTTGGGCAAAGCTACCGTGGAAAGTCGGTGCTTTGGAAGGAAAGCGGCTGGAAACTGCGGCTGAAAGCGCCGCAGGTGTGGTAGAGCCTCGTGCTGCAGGTGAGTAAGATTGATCCGAAGAGAAGCAGCACCAGCGCGTGCCGACGATCTTGGGCATGCTATGTGTTAGAGTCGAGGCTGCGTGAGCTACTGGCACCTTTTGCCAACGTTGGGTTGCATGAGCCGAGAGCAACGTGAGCTGCAAACAGGCGTGAGTGAACTGGTTTGTTCGGAATTCTGGTCTAGGTAAACAGCAGTACTTGTAGTTCGTTTTTGTGTTGCCAAGCGGCCGGCAAAATCGTGATAACTGTGCTTCCAAGCCGAACGAGATATGGCTACTGCCCCCGAGAAGCGGGGCATGAAAGTGCTTTCCTGTTGTTGTGCTTGCAGCCGCTCCGCTGGTGAACACAAGCTTCGACTGCAGCCGTGCGCTGGTCCTTAGTCGAAGTTAGCTCTAAACTTAAACCCTCATCTGAACTGATCTGTTTCGGAAGAGGACGGAGCTGTGCCTCCGAGACGCGGCCGTTTCGCAGCAGGAGCCACGGGGCCACGACACCTTTATTTATTGCTTGTTTTGTTTTGTTCTTTGTGAGCGGCTGGCTGACGTGCCCAAGTCGCGGCATGCAGCTGGCTGTCGCCAGGCTTACAAGCAGTGCTTGTAGCTCGAAGCAATTCGACATGCCCCCTGCACAAAGCTCGCAAAGACGCACGCAGAGAAGCTCAGCAGAGAACCAGAGTCACTCGATGCAAGCCTCGAGCTTCGTGCAAGGGTAGTCCCTTCAACCAAGCCAGGAGGCTTTTTCCCGCTGCATGGTTTTGCCAGCAGTGCCACTTTCAGCCCCCCCTTGGCAAACACTGCATAACTCGTCATGAAACGAGAGCGGCTTGAGCTGGTTGCATCTCACATGTTCAGCAATACAGGCCTTGGATCGATTTGATGTGTGCCCTTGGGCTCAGAGGATGTTCCATTCTTAGTTGGAGCTTGTTGATTCTGATGGTCCTGCATGAGGCAGCCTTAGATGAAATCTTAGATTGCGAAAGCTCGCGATCCGTGCAGCCGTATCACGAGTTGAACGGAAAGACCTCTTTCTGCCAGCATGTTCTTGCGGCTGCGTTTCAGCGTCCCAATGGCTACATTGGCATTGGGACCGTGCTGCTTTGCTTCAGTTGCTACTGGTTTCTCCAGGATCCCCCTCCTGAAATCAAGCAGCCACCCGATGCAGTTCCGGTGGTCTTGGTTGATGGGCAGCAGTACAGCGCCGTCCAATACTTGGGCATGAACCTGTTTACAGCTCCCGGCACGGAAGTAGATGGCTGTTTCGATTATAATGCCGACATGGACCAGTGCTATCTGGGAAGCAGCACTGTTCGTGAAGATGTCGCCCGGCGAATGGAAATCATGCTTGAGGCCATTGATAGAGCGTTCGAATCTGAACACTGGGACCGCCGCCCGACGACTCTGAAGATTGTCCTTCTGCCTGAGTTCTTCTGGCGAGGAAAGCAGGGGGCATACCGGATAAAGAGGGGGCTCGAGAATGTGACTCACCCTGCAGCCCATTGGATCTTTCATCAATTTGCACACGAACGCTTCAAACATTGGCTGGTCGTTGATGGAACCGTGGTCATGGCCCAAGCTGCGGATGCGAGGTACGTTCGTATGTCCGAGAGGCCAGATGAAAATATCAGCTATTTCAATTTCGCCCCAATACATGTTGGGGGGACGAACTTGACATACTTGAAATTCAAGAGGTTCATCAGTGGAATTGATTTTATACGTGCTCGCCCAGAAGGATCACGCATGGTCCCGGCACCACCACGCAAGTCTCGCGAGTTCTGCAGAAAACATCCGCACTCGAACGGCTGCATGTATGGACGGATGCCGGAGGCGCTCCTGCACGAGCTCGGATTCGGTAATGATATAGAGCTTCCGCGTGGTTTGCTGTCCGTTGGGGGCTTGTTGATTGGGTTGGAGATTTGCTTAGACCACGCAATGGGGGATCTCTGCAACGACATTGTTGGAGGTGACGAGCATGTGGACGTACAGCTAGTTGTCTCTGCGGGTATGAACATCGCGTCCGGGCCGGTTTGCACCTTGGCCGGAGGTCCGGTGTTCCTTGCCGATGGCTTCGCAAGGACGGAGGTCAGCTTGAACCCATTTGGAAAAGGCCGAGTGGCAGCCCCAACTCCGGACCACCGCCGCCGCTTCAACGTTGGCATCGACTACGGTGCTGATGTTATGGCCGCGGTCTTAGTCAAGCTTTCACCGCGCACCTTCTGCGTGCATATTGCTAGAAGAAGTCCTGACTTGCACTTTTGGGGGGACAGGTGTCGATGCAGCAGTGGATAGCTGACACGATCTTCAGCATCACCGGAACGGGCTTCGGCACGCGATTTCCTGGACTGTCGACTCTCCCGGGGGGCAGCTCCAGTTCTGGCAGTACCGGTTTGCCCTTCAAGCAGAGACTTGGAGAATCGTATCGGCTAGCATAGCCTGTTCTGATTGACGGAAGCTTCTTGAAGCCAACACAATAGCCCCAGCATCCGTTCTCACAGCCTGCATCCTTGATAGCAGGTTAGCTCAGATGTTTTGAGCGCATGTGTGCCACCCTCGCGCGCCGAAGTTAAGCAGACCATTTGTGTCACGCGCGCGCAAGACTCAAATGCAAGGATTCCGGCTTTGGGCGACGATTGGAAGGCCCAGCTCCAAGGGTTCTACCACACAGGCAGCTACAAGGAAGCTGAGCGCATGCAAGCTTCTCTCGAAAACGCCTTATACAGGTTTGAGGATTCAGAGCGCATTTCGATGTCAAGCGACATATCAAAGCCAAAGATCTATCCAACAATGGACATCTACGGCCCGTTTCAGGTACCTGGCCACTGAAATGATAAGACCACGCTGTCCAAAGACGACATCGGGTTGAGAGTGTTTGTCACACACCCGTCGAGCAGAGGGGTACCTGGCGAGGCGAGTCCGCAAAATAGTTTTCGAAGCGTACGCCACCAGACAGCGAATCAATTGTAGTAACCCAGCATGTCCACCTTCGTTGTAAGGCCGAGGGCTCTGCCTCATTCGAAGAACTGTGGGCCACCATCTCAGCAGAAAGCAGGAGGCTTTCCATATCTTTCCATGGTCGTGCTGCTACAATCAATAGCCCCACTGCGCAAGATTATGGTGGGAAGGAACTCACCTGAGGTGCAAATCTTCATGCAGCTGCGAGCACTTGCTTCAGACAGCAGGCATTGAGTGCCCTCGAAGCAGAGAGTCAAATGCTACTGTACGTTTTGCCATGTACTTGTGCGGCGCTCCCTCTGAAGAGCGAAGACAGAAGCTACTTCAGCATCCAACATCAGCTGGCTGCACAAAGGATTCCAAAGTCGACCCAGCGCATCTTTTGCTTGGATTGCAGGCCTGAGGTGCGGAACTGCGCGGTGCGAGTCTGAGCATGGAGAGCCGGGCTGTGGCTTGCTTGCAACACCTATTCAGCTTTTGTGTGCCCGGCTGACTGCGAGACGCGACGGTGACAAAAGTGTCGGCTCAAAGTTGCAGCCCAATGTCCAAAGCCTGCCTCTACTCTTGCTGCGACATCGAAATCCGGACGGCGAGGCGGTCCACTCGTGGTCATTGCGGAGGGAGGGAGAGAGAAAGAGAGAGAGAGAGAGAGAACACGAGAGAGAGAGAACACGAACAGTAGCGCAGAAAGGGAGGAGACCCCTCTTCTAGCTTTTGCAAAAGAGCGAGGGAGGTGGCATTGGTGAGCCGAGGTCAACATGCGTTTTGGACAGCGAACAGCAACTCAATTGATCGAATGTGTGGCCAACAACGATGCAGGCCTCTAGACGGATAGAGCCATTCGGCTGTTGCCTGCTGCCTTCAGTGGTTTTGCAAGAAACCAAATTGCACGGCAGTGGTGTGCCTGTGTTCCCGCCGGTGAAGGAATGGAAACCTTGGACTTGACCAAGAATGCCTCCTTTCAAATGAGCCTTGCCTCGACTAGGTATCGGCATGCATCGACAAATCCCAGCGAAGGATGTGAGTCATCATGTATGGGGATGACTTTCTCCCATTCTTGGCTTGCACGGAAAACGTGTAAGAGTCGCTTATCGGTCAAGATGCCTGCGAAGATTTAGGAAGGCGCTGGAGAATACGCGAAGTCTGGCGGAAGCACTGAAGAAGAACACCGTCATCAGGTCCGACTGTCTGGCCGTGCCTTCTCAGAGCTTCCGTGATGAAGTGAGTTTTGACTCTGTCAGGACCCTGGTTCTGCGCGAGTGTGAAATTTCTGATGCTGGGGCAGAGGCGGAAGTGATCTAGGATTCAGTGGGATGCAGGTCTTTCATGCCCTTTGTGCTACGACACTGTCACCTGGATGGCTTCGCTGAGAAAGACCGGCGAAAGCGTAGGCCCTCGCACGGTTTTTGCACGGAGGCTTTGGGTGCTGCACTCGCGGTGAACCAGGGCATTGAAGAGTTGGATTTGCAGCATCTCGCCTGCCAAGTCCATCATTCGTTTTTTGCTCAATTGGGAGAATATTCGTTCGACACCTAGCAGAGCTGGCAATAATTAGCCAAGTATCATCCCCATTTCCTTCGGTGCTGACTCAATACCCCAAACTGCGCGATACGACTTCGTGCGTATTTGAGCCATCTATCGGAAACGATGCATGGCTGCACATCGCGGGTGCACGAAGGGCAAGTCCCACAGAGCCCCATAAACGCGCGAACTGAATTTCGAGAAAGGCCCAAGAGCTCCTGCCTTTGTGAAGCTCCGTGGACTTGGGCATGAGGGCCCCTGATTGTGCACCATGCTCGCGCCCTGTGACAGCGCACGTGCGGAAGACACATACACACACACACACACAGAGACACACACTGGAGTGTTCCGATTAGA